TAAGGTTTCTGTTGAGAAGTCTGATGATAGCCTGATGGGTTTTCCTTTGTAGGTGACCTTTTTTCTCTCTCTGGCTACCTTTAGTACTCTGTCCTTGTCCTTGATCTTTGCCATTTTAATTATTATATGTCTTGGTGTTGTCCTCCTTGGGTCCCTTCTGTTGGCAGTTCTGTGTACTTCCATGGTCTGAATGATTATTTCCTCCACCAGTTTGGGGAAGTTTTCAGCAATTATTTCTTCAAATACACTTTCTATTCCTTTTTCTCTCTCTACTTCTTCTGGTACCCCTATAATGCAGATATTGTTCCATTCGGATTGGTCACACAGTTCTCTTAATATTCTTTCATTCCTGGAGATCATTTTATCTCTCTCTGCGTCAGCTTCTCTGTGTTGCTGTTCTCTGATTTCTATTCCATTAACAGCTTCTTGCACCTCATCCATTCTGCTTTTAAGTCCTTCCAGAGATTGTTTTATGTCTGTATTCTCCCTCCCAACCTTATCCGTTAGCTCTTGTATTTTTCTCTGCAGCTCCATCAGCATGATTATAACCTTTATTTTGAATTCTTTTCCAGGAAGATTGGTTAAATCTATCTCCCCAGGTTCCCTCTCAGGAGATGTCTGGGTCATTCTTGTTTGTATCAAATTCTTCTGCCTTTTCATGGCAATAGAGGTAGTCATAGGCAGTTGGTGCATGTGTCAGATGGGAGAACAAAGTCCCTGCTTGCCTGTCACCTCCCCTTCCTGTGACAATGGCGACCCTTCGCGGCTTGTGCTGGGAAACTGCACACTGACGGGGCCTCTGAGTCTGGCCTGGGCAGCTGCAGAGGAGGCTCTGTGCGGCTGCTGTGGGTGTGGCTGGTCTCAGGCTGCTGCCTCGCTCTGTCGGGGCTGCATCAGAGGGGGAACAGGCAGGAGGCTGTTTTTGCTGTGAAGGGCCTCCAAGCTGCGCTGCTGCCCAGGGGATTAGGGTACCTGGAGTTCCCCTGGATTCCCAGCTGCTGAGCTGAGTGTGCCGGAACTCTTCTGTCCAGCTGTGAGGCTCCTGTCCATTTAAGACTTTCAAAAAGCACTCACTTTTCTTTTTTCCCAGGGGCATTGGCTGCGGGGACCCGCTTGCAGGTTTTGCTGTTCCGTTTCCCTGATATCCAGCACCCCATGCACTGTGTGTCTGCGCTCCCGGTGCAGATGGCTAGGGCTGGGTATTTAGCAGTCCTGGGCTCCCTCTCCCTCCCTGCTCCAACTCCTTTCCTCCTGCTGGGGAGTTGTGGTGGGGGGTGCACTTGGGTCCCACTGTGCAGCGGCTTGTATCTTATTCCCTTCATGAGGCGCTGGATTCTTGCAGGTGTAGATATAGCCTGGCTGTTGTACTGTATCTTCTGATCTCTCTTTTGGGTATAGTTGTATTTGTTGTATTTTCAAAAATATATATGGCTTTGGGAGGAGATTTCCTCTGCCGTACTCACACCCCCATCTTGGGCCCCCCTTTTTAAAAAAATTTTAAATGTAGTTTTAGGTACTGATTATAAAATTCTGGTGTAAGTTTGATTTAAATGAACATGTTACTAAATTGGGAGTTTTTCTAATTTGTACTTTGTAATAGTCAATTATTAGGCTTTACAGAAATGAATTTTTCCTTAATTTCATAGGAGAAAATGAATTTTTAAACTCTTACTAGAGGGCTCCAACCACAACTTTTACTAAGATAGGTTCCATTTACTGTAAACCATTTGGGAAAAACAAAACTAAAAAAATCTTGCACTTATATTTTGATTCTGTCAATTAGATCTTATCCATAAGAAAATCTTGACTTTTAAAAAAAACCTTGTAATTTTACCTTAAAAAGAATTTTTAGATACGGTTTACTCAAGAGGCTCTTATCTAATCTTTGTGTTTTTTTCTGTATGTGTTTTGTCTTCATGTTTTTTGTCATTTATGTCTCACATATATAGATGGGCAGAGAAGTTAGATCGGCTAACCACCACAGCAACAAAAGATCCAGAAGGATTTGTTGGGCACCCTGTAAATGCATTCAAGTTAATGAAACGTTTGAACACTGAGTGGAGTGAGTTGGAGAATCTGGTCCTTAAGGATATGTCAGATGGTAAGAGCAACATTGCTATCACCTGTAGAAATCCAAAGGTGCTTACTAAATTCAGTTTTCAGGACATCAAAGTCTTCAATGTTGTAATTGAATTATTGCTGGGTATGTTTGGTTTGACTACATTATTTAGTATAGATTCTGAATTCCTTGATTTAAAAAGAAAAGATGAATAAGAACTGGAAACAAAGAAATAAAGATTTATTGTAAAAAAAAAGGTAATTTCTGCTACTGGTGACAAAGATGGTGCTTTTTGCTTTGAAATCTACAAAAGTGAGTTATTTAGCATATACCTTCATTTCTGAGGATAATCATTTTCATTTTAGGATTATCTTCAGACTTCAGAAATTTATGGGTAACGTTTATCTTCTAATCAGTTTTTAATGTATTGTGAGTGGTAGTGTAAGGGAAAGTGTTAGCTGTGTTCTATACAGTATTTTGAAGCTTAAGATTTTTTTACTTAATGTAGACAATAAATTTAAAAGTTGAGGCTGCAAAAGTAATAATGTCCTACTTGAAACAATCAATTTGAAGTTAAGAGTATTGAGGTGTTTTAGATATTTTAGTAACAGATACAGAAACTAAGCCTGGAGTTAAAGGAAGTAAAGGAATTATGCTTAGTACATAGTCAAATATTTGTTGAATGACTGAAGGTGGCAAAAAAAAAAAGGGGAGAAAGAGGGAGAGAACTAAGCTAGCTGTTCAGATGAAATACTCCAAGGATACTTAGAAGCGTTTGTGAAGCAGTAAACTAAATTATGTGTAGGACAGGAAACTTTGAAAAGAAAAATTAAGGCAAGCACTTGTGAATACTTCTTCACAATAAGAGGGAAATACCTATGATTATTTGCTCTCTTATCTAACACCATGAGAACATTTCTGTGGTCATGTATATGTATGTATATACGTATGTGTACACTCACGTATATTTATTTACTGTTTAAAAATTCTCAAGTAATGACCTATGTGACCTAAGTTCTTTTATAAGGTAAACCTTGAGTCTTTGATGTTTTCACCTGTGGTAGCCATCCAATATATATGCTATAATACATATATTTTTTTCTCTTAGGATTTAAGCAAGTTCCTGGATTTTGTTTTGGGTCATAAAGAAATGACAGTCTTCTGTAAAACTTGCTTGTAAAATTCCATGTGGATATTGTGATTAAGAGTTGGTTTTAGAACTAAGATATGCTTGATATGAACTTTAGTCCTTTTCCAGCTAGTTGTTCATTTGTTCCCATTACATTACATTCCCATTAACATGACAGTGCCTGGCCTTTTGCTGCTCAAAATGTTCATAGTTGATTATAAGTAAATTAGAGGTAAGGGAAGTCTCATATCTAACTTTTATTTGCAAATGAAGATATATAATATTGTTTAAATTTTAAATAACTTGTTGTTTTTTGTTGTTTTGGTTCCTTGAGTATCATCCATTCTCCTTAGAGGTTTTAGTTATTAGTAATTAGTTTTTTAAATTTTTACTACATTAATATATTTACTTTATTATGTAAAACCTTTTAAAATTAAGATCAGGTTTTATATAGAACTTGATTGATGAACACTATATTCAGTGATTTAACAAAGTATTTTAATGAACTAGCTTACCTAATAATCTTAAAAATGTAATTAATATCTCTTCTTTACCCTCAAAGAATTCCACCAAACTTTACATATTTACATAGTTATATAGTATGGAACATTGAAGAAGAAAACAGAACTTTATTTAAAAGCATACATTTTACTTAACATCTGTTATCTGAAAGTGTACTTAGTTGCCAATAAATGTCATTTTCAAATCCACAAATCTGTTCTTTTATTAAGCTTAGTAGAGAGCTATATTGTGTAACTAAAAATTCAGTTATTGTGTTAGTTGATCTTACTAATAAAAATATAATTTATATAATGACCTCAGATTACTTAAGCAACATTAGAAATGATTTGGGAAGATTGAACAAGTTTAGAGGTATGTCAAGTCTCTTTCAGTGTATTTAATTTTTTCTTGCTGAACATTTGCAACCTTCGTGTTATGATGCAAAATTATAATAAAATAGATTTTGAAAAATCTTTGTAAAAACTGTATTGAAAGTCTATGAGGTTCTAGAGTCTGTTTTTGTTTTTTTTTTGTTTTTTGTTTTTGTTTTCCTATTTCAAGGCTTTATCTCTAACCTAACCATTCAGAGACAGTACTTCCCTAATGATGAAGATCAGGTTGGGGCAGCCAAAGCTCTGTTGCGTCTCCAGGACACCTACAATTTGGATACAGATACCATCTCAAAGGGTAATCTTCCTGGTAAGAATTCTTATAGTCTGTGAAACACCTCTGTTAATGTTAACATAAAAAGAGTTCTGTATTTTAAGATTTTTAACTTTAGTTTGTTTCAAGCCTTTGAGGATAAAACAACCCTCCCTTTCTATAGGAAGCTTCTAGCTTGTTACATGAAAACTTATCATTATAGGGACTAACATAAGTAAGCAATTTTAATGTTTAAGAAAAAAATCATTTTTCCAAATGTCTTCTTTAGAACACCCAATGTTTACATATAAAGTTATTAAGGAAATTGATAATCAAAGCTTATATGTTCAATAACTTAAAAAACCAAGACATACTGCGTATGCACAGATTTTTAAAGTATTCTACAGTGTGGAACATCCTGCTTTATGATCTACTTTTTACAAAATCCTGTTTTTCGTTTTTTTATTAAGGTATCATTGATATACAATCTTATGCTCAGGTTTCACATGAGCAATATTGTGGTTACTATATTCCCCCCTATTATCAAGTCCCCACCACATACCCCATTACAGTCACTGTCCATCAGCATAGTAATATGTTATAGAGCCACTACTTGTTTCCTCTGTGCTATACTTCCTTCCCTGTGTGCCCCCTGTATTATGTGTGCTAATCATAATACCCCTTAATCCCCTTATTCCTCCCTTCCCACCTACCCTCCCCAACCTCTTTCCCTTTGGTAACCGCTAGTCCATTCTTGGGTTCTGTGAGTCTGCTGCTGTTTTATTCCTTCAGTTTTTGTCCTGTTTTGTTTTTTAAGTTACAGCTGACTCTTAATTTACCTTGAATTTATTCAAAAAACATAACAAAACCGTCTTAACCAGTTTTAAATGTGCAGTTCAGTGCCATTAAATGCATTCACATTGTATAATGAAGAAAAAAATATATTCTGCATAAGCAAATAGGAAAGATAAACTGGGATGCAGTTCATAATTCATTCTATACAAAAGGCAAATTTCCCTTTAAGGAGTTCCTATATATCAATAAGAAAAACACCAAGAATCTAATGGAACAAGTGTATGAAAGAGATAAGAAAACTTCACAGAAAAGGAAATAAAACTGGTCTTTAAACACATGAAAAAAATGGTCAACCCCACTTTAATAAAAGAAATAAAGTAATGTTGAGTTGCCATTTTCATGATCACAAAGATCAATCACAGAGTTTACCATACTTTTTAGGGAGATGTTATCAAATTGTATTATTTTTGCCAAAAATGCTGAAAATGAATCTAAGTTTACAGAGTTTACCATACTTTTTAGGGAGATGTTATCAAATTGTATTATTTTTGCCAAAAATGCTGAAAATGAATCTAAGTTTACAGGAAATGAATTGAGAAACAAACAGCATGAGGGAAAAAAAAGACAAATCCAAAAGATAGAGAGATTCTATATAACTGGCCTGATGTCTTTGACAAATTAGTGTCATAGAAAAAAAAATGTGTTGAAAAAACATACTTTTCCACTGGATGGTCTTAGCACCCTAATCAAAAATCATTTGCCCATATAAGTGAGGGTTTATTTCTAGGCTGTTCTGTTCAATTGGTCTGTATGTCTGTCTTTATACCAGTACCACACTGTTTTGATGACTACTTATGTCGTAAGTTTTGAAACCAGGAAGTATTAGTCCTCCAGTTTTGTTTTTCTTTTTTAATATTATTTTGGCTATTCAGTGTCCCTTGAGAATGAACTTGAAATCCAAGAAAGGCACCATTATTGGTACATACATGATATTAAACTCTTGTGTTTGATCCTTGTGATCATAAAAATGGCATCTCATTTGCACTTTATGTGTGCTAATCATAATGCCCCTTTTCCCCCCTTATCCCTTCCTTCCCACCCATCCTACCCAGTCCCTTTCCCTTTGGTAACTGTTAGTCCATTCTTGGGTTCTGTGAGTCTGCTGACAGAGCATGCAAGGTGTGTACCAGGTTTTTCTCTGCAGCATTACTCTCTATGTGCTTAACTTATATTGTGAAAAATTTCAAATATGTAAAAAAGTAGATTAGCATATTGAGTATCACATCATCTAGTTTTAGCAATAGTTGACCTGTCCAGTTTGCTTCATCCAGTCTTGTTAGTTGAAATATTTTCAAGTAAATTCCAGACATCATGACATTTTACTCCTAAATACTGAAACATACAAATAAAAAATACAGCATTTTCCTGCATAACTGCAATACTTCATTACATCTAGCAAGTGTGTGTTAATAGCATTAAATATAATTCCTTAATTCATTTTCTGCCCAGTCTCCATTTAACATTTCTCAATATTCCCAAAATATATTTAGTAGCTGGTTTGTTCAAACCATACTCCAAAGACTACATACTGCATTTGGTTGTCTAAATTAAATGTAAGAAATAAAATGAGGTGCCACTGAAAAGTTCTAAACAGAGAAGTTAATATGATTTTGATTTTAGAAGTATCATTGTGGCTGTAGAATGGAAATTGGATTGAGATCTGAGGATAAGGCAAAGAGATCAGGGAGGCTGTTACAAAAATGTAAGTAAGATGATAGTGGTAGCTAGTGGGCATGGAGAGAAGTGGATAGGTTATCAGGCTTCATATGAGGTGGAATGGTAGAATTTGATGATGGACTTGATATGTGTTTCTGATTTGACAAGTAGATGAGTTCCATTCAGCAAAACAACACAAAAGAAGCTAATATGGATAGTAAATTGAGTTTACTATATTTCCTTAAAAGGATTCCTTTTATAATTAAAAAATTTTTTAATAGAATACAATATTCTATTCATTTCAGATATACAACATAATGATTTCATGTTTATATATTTTATGAAATGCTCACCATAAGTGTAGTTACCATACAAAGTTGTTATATTATTATTGACTGTATTCCCTATATTGTACTTTTCATCCCCTGACTTATTTTAAAATTGAAAGTTTAAACCTCTTTATTGCCTTCATCTATGTCTTCCATCCCTCCACCCCTCACCTATGTCTACCACCAGTTTGTTCTCTGTATTTGAGTCTATTTCTGTTTTGTTTTTGTTTTTTAGATTCCACATATAAATGAAATCATATGGTATTTGCCTTTCTCTGCTGATTTATGTCAGGTATTAGCATAATACCTTCTGTGTCTTCTGTCACAAATGGAAAGATTTCATTTTTTTGGCTGAGTAATATTCCATTGTGTATATGTACAACATCTTTATCCATTCAGCTGTTGGTGGACACTTAGGTTGCTTCCATATCTTGGCTATTTTAAATAATGCTGCAGTAAACATAAGAGTGTGTATATATTTTTGAATGAGTGATTTTTTTTTTCTTTGGGTAAATTCCCAGAAGTAGAATTGCTGAATTATATGGTATTTGTATTTTTAGTTTTTTGAGGAAACTCCATACTTTCTCTGTAGTGGCTGTACCAGTTTACATTCCCATCAACAGTGCATAAGGGCTCACTTTTCTCCACATCCTTGCCAACTTTTGTTATTTCTAATCTTTTGGATAGTAGCCATTCTAGCTGGTGTAAGGTATTACCTCATTGTGATTTTGATTTGCATTTATTTCCCTGATGATTAATGATGTTGAACATCTCTTCATGTACCTGTTGGCCATCTGTATATCATCTTTGGAAAAAAGTCTATTCAGGTCCCCTGCCCTTTTTTAAAAATTGAATTATTTGGGGTGTTTTTTGGTGTTTATTTCATTTTAGATATTAGCCTCTTATTGGACATATCATTTGCAAATATATTCTCACAATAAGTTGATTACCTTTTCATTTTGTTGATTTCTGTGTAGAAGATTTTTAGTTTAATGTAGTCCCAATTGTTAATTTTTGCTTTAGTATCCTTTGCCTGGAGACACATATCGAGAAAAAAATGGCTAATGTCAATATTCAAGAGTTTATGGCCTCTATTTTCTTTTAGTTTTATGGTTGAAGATCTTATATTTAGGTCTTTAATACATTTTGAATTGTGTATGGTGTAAGACAACGATCCAGTTTTGTTCTTTTGCATCTGGCTCTCCAATTATCCCAACACAATTTATCAAAGATACTGTCTTTTCCTCATTGTATATTCTTGCCTCCTTTGTCATAGCTTATTTGACAGTATATGCATGGGTTTATTTCTGGACTCTCTTGTTTTGTTCCATTGATCTATGTGTTGATTTTTGTACCAGTATCACACTGCTTTGATTCCGGTGGCTTGTATAGTTTACTATATTTCTTTTTGTTTTAAAAAGTTTGTCTTCCCATCGAAATGGTATTGAGTATTATTTAATCTGGTTTTGCTGTGTTTAGTCTTAAGAAACTCATTGGGTTCACTTTAATACCTAGCCTTTAATCTAGAAATCAGTTGGTAAGACTCTCATAAGGCATGGCTGAAAAGAAAGCACTGAGGCTTGTGTACAATTGACCCTTGAATAGTGTATGTGTGAACTGCATGGGTCCACTTACATGTGGATTTTCTTCAATAAATACACTGGAAAGGTTTTTTGAGATTTGTGACAATTAGAAAAAACATTTTCTTGTCTCTAGTTTTATTATAAAAATACAATATATAATACAAATAACATAATGTGTTAATCAATTGTTTACATTACCAGGAAGGCTTCCAGTCAAACAGTAGGCTATTAGTGAGTAGTTGAGTTTTGGGGAATCAAAAGTTACAAATTTTTGACTATGAGGGGTTGGTGCCCCAACTCCCTAGTTGTTCAAGGATCAAATGTAATTATTTTTCACTGTGGCAGTATTCATTCTTTCTTATGCACTTATCTCTTTATTGACTTCTCTTATTCAAGTCACTGTTCTGGGCTAGTTCTTAATGAATTTTCATATCATGCAAATTCCCTATAAGTAGAGTGAGTGAATTTCCTATGTATATTTATATCCTATACTTGATACAAATAACACTGTAGTGAACTAATAAATATATTTTTTATTAAGGTATTATTGATATACACTGTTATGTAGGTTTCACATGAAAAAACAATGTGGTTACTGCCTTCACCCATATTATGAAGTCACCACCTGTACCCC